TCTCTCTCTCTCTCTCTCTCTCTCTCTCTCTCTCTCTCTCTCTCTCTCTCTTTCTCTTCCTTTCTCCTAACCAGTATACCCAGACTGCAGCAGGTTCTCAAAGCCACCCTAAGACTCCAGGGGGCAGGGAGCTTCCTCTGAGCTCTGGCATCCAGGCTGGTTCTTAGCTCCTGCATCTTTCAGGTGGTACAGATCGTGCTGGGGCTCCTGAGCGGAGTCCTGGGAGGATTCCTCTACATCCTCATGTGCTACAGACTGTGCTCCTCAGGAGCTGCCATCTGGACCGGGCCTGTGGTGAGTGTGGCAGTTGGCAGTCAGCCTCCTGTCAGAGGGACAGGGACGCTGCTCTCAGTATTGCCTGGACATCACAACCATCAGAGTGGTGCTACAGAATGTTAGCAGCCAAAGAGGCACTAGTGATGGAGGCCACATCTTCGCTTGTAGAGATGAGAAAACACCCAAGGATGGTGGCAAGTCCAAAGTCACAGGGTCAGCTCTCGTCTCCTGCCTGGGGCTCCCCTCACCCCAGGCTGGCTACCATTCCCCACGGTCAACAGCAGTCACCACCAAGGATCTGAAGACCCACTCACCTCCAGACACTGCCCTGGGGTGGGGGGGAGGACAATGTGCCAGAGAGGAAGTGTCACCTCCCAGTTCTCCCCTTGTCCTCTGCACAATCCGTGGGACTAGAGATGAGTGCAGATGAGTACATGACTACCTGCTCATGGTGGGACTGGGGAACCTCAGACACACCCACAATCTCAGAGCAGCTAAACACACCCACATGGATTGAAAGAAGATACAAACGGAACCCTCCTAGTCCATCCACTGACAGAGACACACAGATTAGTTATGGATCAGCCAAACAGGATTTCAATCAATTTCTCCCTGGGGTATCCCAGACTTCCTGTTCTTCAAGCCCAGCTAGAGGGCCATGGAGCTGTTAGGATACTTGGACCTGAGGCTGCCCAAAGACTTATCTTGCATTGAGAGCTTCTCCAGCAAGCTGGGATTTTCACAAGATCCACCCCTGCCTCCCCAAACCCTCAACTTACATGAAGCACCCAATGTTGCTTTAAAAGGTTTTGATGAAGGGAGAGAGGGCTCATACCCAGCTCGACCACAAGCAATTTTTTTTTTTGGTACCAGGGATCAAACTCTGGACCTTGCACTTGTGAGGCAGGCACAGCTCCACGGAGCTAAATCCCCGGCCCCCACAAGCACTTCCAGGTGTCACTAAAACAGCATCCGGCAACTTCAGGAGTTTGACCCAGGCTCAGCACTCCCCACAGTTATTTCACCACAAACAACACAGCTTAGCACAAACCCAGGACACACCCGGAGTGCACTGGGGAGGGTCACTGTGTGGCTGGCAGCTGTCACAGGGGATTAGAGGGGACTTGAGGTTCCTGTGCTAACCCTGCCCCGTCCCTGTCTCTCTCCAGGCTGTGCTGGCTGGAGCTGCTGCCTTTGTTTATGAGAAACAGGGTGGGATCTGCTGGGTGAGTTCTGAGCAGGCAAGAGGAAGCAACCAGGCTCAGGCCTGAGGGTCGTGCATGGCTTGCACCAGGTATCGCCCTCTTTGCCCAAGTCTGGGCTCTAGAAAAGACTGAGTCACTAAGGTCTCCCCATGCCTTCTCCCCTCCAGGCCCTGCTGAGGACCCTTCTCACACTGGCAGCTTTCTGCACGGCCATTGCTGCCATCGTAATTGGGGCTGGTAACTTCTCTGAGTACCACAACAGTTGGACTATGAGCAGTGATTACATCTGTGAGGCCTCCTCGAGCAACTGGCACGTCACGCCCCCCAGCACCCTGAGTCCCAAACCTGAGAGGCAACGCCTGTGCATCTCCCAGGTGAACATGCTGAAGGTCAGTGGACAGGGGAAAGGGTGGGGTAAATGGTGGGAGAGAAGCCAGAACAGATAAGAGGAAAGCTGTCCATTAAAACAGGTGCCCCTAGTGCTCACCCAGCGTGGTGACTGTCACTAAACTGTCACTAAAGATGTAGTTCTGACCATGGCAGAAACAGCTCCTGCAGCTGAGGTGTTAGAGACCAGTGGGAAAGACAAACGCTGAAATACTCACTGTGAATGAGCCAAGACTTCAAGTGTGCAAAGTGGCACCAAGGTGTTAAGTGCATGTCCTGCTTTGATCCTCTCTGGTCTAGGAAGCCATTAAGGAATCATGTCACAACCCAATCCATCTCTGCAGATGAGCACAGGGTGCTGCATTCTGCATACTGGACACAGCAATCCCCCTCCAGAAGTCACCACCTTGGGGATGAAGGGCAGACAAATTTCCATGTCAGTGAAAAGCATGGGAAAGGGCCTGAAAGTGACCATTGCTCTGGTGCCCATGGCTTTGCCTCTTTGTCCCCAGAACCTGTCTGTAAGCCTTCAGTCCATGCTCTTGGGTGTTTGGGTCCTGCTGCTTCTGGCATCTCTAGTCCCTCTGTGTCTGTACTGCTGGAAAAGATTTTCCATTAAAGAGGTGAGTACTTGTGTGTTTGGGGCAGCAAGGTTGTTCAGAGGAGACAGGAATGGAGAACAGATGCTTCAGGAGGAAAATGGGGCCCATTCCAGGAGTTCCAAGTAGCCTCTTGCCTGTCTTTCTACCCAAGCCCAGAGAGCCCCGGTTCCCAACCAAGGGGCCCCAGCCAAAGTCTCCAGGAAACCAGGAGAATCCACATCTGTGCTAGGCTTTAGGGATCTTTGTATCAGGTGTCATGTAGCTGGTGTTGCATCTGGCTACTAAGCTGCTCTGGAGGAGAAAATCTGCCCTTTGTCTCCCATTCAGGGTTGTCTTCCCCTGCCCCTCTTAGAAAAGAGACCAGAAGAAGCTGCTGGAAGCAAAGGAGCTCTAGCCCTGCTTCTGCTAAGCATTCATATCTGATACTCCTTCTGCTCTGTACGGCCCTGCATCTGCCTCCTTGAAGAACCAGATTGGGACAAGAGATTCCCAGTGGCCACAGCTGTTCTTCCCTAAGAACCATAGCCACTGCCTTGCACCATTCGGCCATCACAGCAGCTCTTGCTTATCTCTTGCTCACTTTCACCATTCTTCATGTCCCCTCTTATGCAGTGATTCCCCAATAAATGTTTATGTGACTGGTCTCAGGTTTTTGCTTCATTATTCCAGGGAATTTGTCTGGCTGGGGAAGCAGTGGATCATGAACCAACAGCAGACCTAAAATGCCCCCCCATACCTTCAAACTCCTACCTGGATCTGGAGTTGCTGGCCCTGAAACCAGACCCCCTCTGAAGCTGGTCTGAGGCTCCAGGTCCAAAGTCTGGGTACAAATTACGAAAGGGGTGGGACTCAGCCCTGCTCTCTACCCATCAGATTTAAGAAAGTGAATGCGTAGGTTTTCATTTTGACTGTTTGGTAATATTAAGAAGTAGACAACAAAACACCAAGATACAATCACTTTAGAAATCATGGGATCACAAGTTCAAGCCCAGGCTGGGCAACTTAGTAAGATTCCATTTCACAGTAAAAGTGGGCTAGGGATGTAGCTCCATGTGAAGGCCCGAGTTCAATTCCCAGTAAAAACAACAATATTTTTTTTAAAGTATGAGAGAGAGAGAAAGAATATATTCATACCACCCAAAGTGGATTTCAAGTCAAAGAAAAAAACCAGAGATGAACAGAGTCATTACATAGTGATTAAAAATTTGATTTACTAAGATGCAACAATCCTAAATATATGTGCCCCTAACAACAGAACTTCAAAATATATGAAGCAAAGATGCATCGAACTGAAAGAAAAAATCATGAAATCCATGATTATAGTAGAAGACACTTCAGGACTCCGCTCTCAGCAATACATAGAATAAGTACTCAGAAATTAACAAGAACACAGAAGAATTGAGCCACCCCATCAATAACTAGATCTAATTGTTTATAATACACTCAACAACCACAAAATCACATTCTTTTCAACACTTGTTGAACATTCACCAAAACAGATCACATCCGGGGTCATAAAACAAATCTTGACAAATTTAAAATTGAATTCATACAGAGTATATTTTCTAACTATAATGAAATCAATATAGAAATCAATAAACAGAAAGATGATGGGAAAGTTTTTCAAACACTTGGAAGTTAAACAATATACACCTAAATAATTCATGGATCAAAGAAGTCTCAAGAAAATCAGAAAAAAATTTTAATACAACAAAAATGAAAATTTTGTCTGGCAAATTTGAGGGATAAAACTAAAGAAGTGCTTACAAGGAAATTTATAGTACACTGGACTCTCGAGTTATGACCAGCCTCATATACAAACAACTTGGGTTACAACTAGACTTTTACTTGTAACTTACAACCAAAATCTTGAGTTACAACCTGAATGCTGATCTTTCCTGTATGGGGTTAATTGAGAAATCCTTGGCCAATGTCTTTCTAAGGACACTGAGATCTGCCTGGAAGAAAGTTCGGCATACAATTATACAGGAGAGAGACTTTGAAGGCTGTGTAGAGGAACGTGAGCCTTCAGTCAACCTTGTGGTTGATGACACTGTCATATAGCAGAGTCCATAGGCTTGCAGATGGACAGTGGTGATGTTGAGAAACACTCAGATGTTAATGGAAGAACACTCAGAGGGACTGTCTATGGAGGAACTTCAGCTACTTCTGGCTGAGCAACAGAGAGTGGCAGCAGAGGAGCTTTCTGAAGAGGAGGGAGTATCAACAATTAGTGCAGCAAAACTCTTCAGAAATAAAGGAAATCCTAAAAAATATACAGAGCTACAAACATTTGTAGAGAAGACCCACCCAGACAGAGAAAAAGCCAATCATTGCATTCACTTGCTTAATGACAATGTCATGTCATACTACAGAGCAGTGTTAAAGAAAAGACAGGAACAGACAACCTTAGACCTTTTTTTAGTTCTGAAGTGGTTGAGACCTAGTGAGCCAGAAGCAGATCCTAGTAGGCTACAGACTCTCTCAAGGAGAAAGACACCAAGAAAAGACACCAGAGAGCCAGATTCCTATTCTTATGGAAAGGGACTCTCCTTCCAAACAATAACCACCCTCCATTTCATCCTCCCATCCTGCAGGCCAAAAATGTCAACTTGAATGGTGAGTTCAGTATGAAATTGTTGTTTCTGGAAAAGTAGGCACATTTTATAACTTTTTGGTGAATACACTAGGAAAATTATTGGTGTGTTTCTGGTAAATTACACACATTGTGCAACCCTTTTTTATTATGAAAAGGTTAAATAAGGGATGTTTGGGGAGGTTCAGAACACATTGTGGATATTTTCATTATTTCTTATGGGAAAAATTTTTTTTACTTACAATTAACTTGAGTTACAACCAGCCCTTGTGAACAAATTGAGTTTGTAAGTCAAGGGTACACTGTATTAAATGCTGGTATAAAAGAAGAAGAAAGCTCTCAAATCAATTATCTCAAATTTCATCTCTGAAAATATAAAAAGGAGAGCAAAATGAGCCCAAAGCAACCAGGAAAAACAAAGCAAATACTGAAGAAGAGAACTAGATTAAATAGACAATGGAGCCAGATGTATTTATACATGCCTCTAGTTCCAGCTACTTGGGAGGCAGAGACAAAAAGATTGCTTGAGACCAGAGTTTGAGACCAGCCTAGGGAATACAGCAAGATCCTATCTCAATGAAACAAAGCTAGAAATTGGAAAAAAATAAGAGAAATCAACAAAGCTAATAGCCAGCATGTTTGAAAAGTCAAAATTGGTAAACTCACAGCAATAGTGACAAAGCAAAGAGGGACAGCACATATCACTACCAACAGAATGAAATAGGGGATATCACAAGCCCTATAGACATTAAAAGGATACTAAGAAGATATCATTAACAACTCTATATAAAAATTCAACTACTACTAACACAGAAGGCATAATTGATCTAAATATAAAAATATCTAAAATTGATCTAAATATTAAAAATATAAAATATATATCTATAAAACTTGTAGAACAAAACAC